GATATCTAATACTGCAACTATACGTGTAAACTTCTCAGCCGTGAAGCATGACTTAAAGAGACTGAGCACATCCACGTTGTTAAGAATTTGCAGTCACTTAGGAATATATTTTTGCAGAATGAAATAAGCACACTTTTGAATAACGCTATTCGAATGATCCACGCGCCGTGTATTAGGGCCACATTAATAATTCTCGGTTGAGGCGGTAGTTAAGTGGCCGCCGTTTACAGACAATGGGAACACCATCACGTACACGCCAACAATGTGTGCACATGGAACACTGTTTCGCCTCTTGTATTATTAGGATTATAAGAAGCACTTCCCCGAGCACCGCCATCCCCCCCCCCCTGCATTTTAAATAAAATGTTGGAGGTTTTGTTTGTCTTACAATCTGGTCGGTGCGCTGCGTGAGTGACCAGATTCGTGTTCATTTAATCCGAATAATACGGCAATCGACTGTTGGGGCAAGTGATGTTAGCGAACATCCATTAAAGGGTTGGTTGTGTGCGGGGGGAATCGGGTGTGGCCAAAACAATGCACGGCCACGTTTTTCTTCCCAGTGCTGTGGGTTGTGTTTTTCTCACACACAGCACCAACTGCTTTAAGGCTGAGTTGACCTAAGGGGAAGGGAGGGCACAGGGCGAGTTCAAATAATCACGTGTTTCTGCGTTTGTTACATCATAGTAGAGATTCGAACCCAAGGCTCTGAGGTCGTGGGGCGGTGGGTGAAAGGCTGTGGCCCACAGTGGCGTCAAAACTCTCGATTGAGTGCGCAGGCGGTGCAACGGCACCATTGGCACAGGCCCGCGGGGCCCAGGCGCCAGGCTACGACAGGGATGGGGGGAGCAAGCTGCATTTCATGTCTGAGAGCAGGGCCAAATGCCAACCACGCTACGATTCCACTGTTACCGATGCCCAGCGCCTCTCGCAAAGCACCCTGACACAAAGGTGGCTGGGCGTGGATTTTGGCCACACCACACGCCCATCGTGTACCCGAGTTTCTTCATTTTAGCCGGAACAGTCCGGAAAGACGTTCTGGGAATTATTTCAAATGAGTTGGTGCCACATCGATCTAAATGCTCTCATGCTATTATAAGAATATAGTAATGTACGATAATATAGGGTCGTTATGGATAGACGTACCTTGTCCTCTTGCGGCAATGCCTTAAGCAATCACTGCTCCAAAACCGGCGGTCGCAGCGTGCCTGAAAATATCGAGTGATGAATGCGGCTCTGCGTGCGAACAGAGCAACCAACAACCGTGCGAGTGTGGAGGAGTTTGCGCTGGCGGGAAGAAAAAAAACCGGTAACCGTTTTGGGAATCGATTTCTGCCCCTTTCGGAACCGGTAATCGTTTCCAGTGGCCTCTTATCAGGAAAGGGGTGGGAAAACCCACACTGAACCCCACCACGCGTGCGATCTGCCGACTGACTGCGGTGTACCCATCTCAAAAACTTGCACCCATTTCAAGTGCCGCGCCGGGAGATAGAATCGAAGGCGGCGACTTGTGGTTTGCAAAAGTCCAACGGCGCTACCGCCGCCGCTGCTGCTGCTGCCCGTCACACCGCTGCGACAGCTGCCTTCGTTTTCTCAGTTCATACAGGGCAAGGTATTGTCTTGTTCGTGTGCGGCACATCGGTAACCGGTTATTACCGGTTTGTTTTCTCATTCGGTTAGCGGTAATGCAGAATTAACGACATTAACTACCATTAGTTGTGAGCGTAAAACACACGATGGAGACGGAGGTGGTGGTGGGGGGGGGGGTGGAAAAAAACAGCCGTAGGAAATGGGGAAATACGGAAAATGGCAGAGAGCCCGACCTGGCAATGTAATACGATTGTAGTTACAGCGCTACAAATAGACGCCATGCGCGTCAGGGTGTCTATGTGTGTGTGTGTGACTGTGAGCTCGCTAACAGCAACATACCCCAATAGTCTGTTGAGGCTATACGGGGGGGGGGGGGGGGGGTCGGTATCGTTGTTGTCTGTGTGACTGTCTTTGCGTGTCTGTGTGTGTGAGGCTGTCTTTGTGCACCTAGCCTGGCACAATATTGTATGTGTGTTTAAGGGTGAAAGCATGTCTGTGTGCGGGTGAGCGGGTCTGTAAACATGTGCACCGCGCTATGCCATCGGCGACCTGAGTTCCATTCCCAGCTACGACTCACATCCGTGGCAAGTGATATCTGAACCCACCCACATATTAACTTAGCCTAAAATATCACCTACCCACTCTACCTACCCATTCACCAACCCACTCGCCTATCCATTCGCCTACTCACTCACCTTACCTACGCGTTCACCCACCTACCCACTCACCCACCTAATGACCAAGGGTCCCATCGGGGGAAGGTTGTGCAAGGAGCCAGGGGAGGTTGTGGAAGGAGCCAGGGGTGGTTGCGCAAGGAGCCAGGGGAGGTTGTGGAAGGAGCCAGGGAAGGTTGTGGAAGGAGCAGGGGAAGGTTGTGGAAGGAGCCAGGGGAGGTTGTGCAAGGAGCCAGGGGAAGGTTGTGGAAGGAGCCGGAGGAGGTTGTGGAAGGAGCCAGGGGAGGTTGTGGAAGGAGCCAGGGGAGGTTGTGGAAGGAGCCAGGGAAGGTTGTGCAAGGAGCTAGGGGAGGTTGTGGAAGGAGCCAGGGGAGGTTGTGGAAGGAGCCAGGGGAGGTTGTGGAAGGAGCCAGGGGAGGTTGTGGAAGGAGCCAGGGGAGGTTGTGGAAGGAGCCAGGGGAGGTTGTGGAAGGAGCCAGGGGAGGTTGTGGAAGGAGCCGGTGGAGGTTGTGGAAGGAGCCAGGGGAGGTTGTGGAAGGAGCTGGGGAAGGTTGTGGAAGGAGCCAGGGGAGGTTGTGGAAGGAGCCAGGGGAGGTTGTGGAAGGAGCCAGGGGAGGTTGTGGAAGGAGCCAGGGGAGGTTGTGGAAGGAGCCAGGGGAGGTTGTGGAAGGAGCCAGGGGAGGTTGTGGAAGGAGCCAGGGGAGGTTGTGGAAGGAGCCAGGGGAGGTCCGTGGGGTGACTGTGAACACGGTGTGCTGGGGGGTTTGAGTTGGGGGGGGTTATGGGGGGGAGTGATGGGGGGGGGGGTTAGAAGGGGGGGGCACTATCCCGCTCTCCGCGCCCCAGACCGGCCTGCTCAGGTTCCACGTGGCGGGCACGTCTCTAATTGGCAGAGCTGAATGTAAATATTTTGGAGGCCACGGACCCGGGCCGCCTCGGCCCCTCACTACGCCAGGGATATTTTAATCGCATTCAATTGTAGCAAGTGACTTTTTTTTGCAATTCTCTGTCGAGTACGTCACCTTTGCCCCAACGCAATTTATATACGCCTAGCTAATTATGTCAATGTTTGCATAATGTGTTTATATTCTCGTATTAATTCAAGGTCTCATTTGTAAAGGCGGCTTCTTCTCTTTGTGGACTCTTACCTGATTCTAAAGACTACCCACTGCAACTACCTACTCACCTACCTAGCCACCCATCTACCTACTATAGCCGCTACCCACCCACTCATCCACCTACCTACTAACATACCCACCCACCTACCTACTCACATACCCACCCACCTACCTACCCACCCACCTATCTGCCTACCCACCCACTCTCCACTCCAAAATATGCCCACCCATCTACCTATTCATCTACCTACCGACCCACTCACCTACCTATCTATACTCACTCATCCAATTACCAATCTACCCACGCACCTGCCTACATATATGCCTATCCATGAATCGCCTATCTACTTTCTCCCCTAGCTACCAACAACAATAATCTGATTCGTGTGTAGGAGCTAGATGGATTGTTGCATCGCTGACCCCGTGACAGATGGTGATGGCTTTGGTAGGCCTTCATCCAGCAGTGGATAGATCATGGCTGCTGCTGATGAGAGAATCGGAACACTTACATTCACGCCGCGCATGTCCCCGCAAACATCGCCTCTCCTCTCGCCTTAAACCAGAGGTGCAGTCGAGCCAACATTCAGTGCGATTATGACAATGCGCTATAACAATGCGATAAAACCATACGACTAATGCAATGTAATCATCAATAATGCAGAGCCACAATCAATCCACTGCTAGGGGGAAGCAGGCCTCCCCACCCCCAGCTCGGCTACATGAGGTTGTTTAGCCATACAACGCTGGTCAGTTGCCTTGCAATTGCACGGTAAGCGTATTTTTTTGTTTCAAGAAGGCAAATTTGCTTTGTTTAAGCAGCGTGTTTGGAGGTAGGCGGAAACCCAATCGCTCTATTGCCATCTCCTGGCCACTTGGCAGCCCTGCCGAGCTGAGAGTTCCACAAATATCTAAGTGATCCGCCAACCCCTGCTTCCAACGAGCCGGCTTAGCGCAGGCGTTGAGGCTGATAGTCTGGCTCAATAAGCCTCAGGCACCCGTGCATCGGGATAGTATGACTCCCCGTACGGAGGGAGGGAGAGAGGAAATGAGAGAGGGAGGGATGTAGAGAAGGTGGGAGGCATGGATGAAGGGCGGCAGGGAGAGAGGCATGGAGGTAGGGAGAGAGGGAGGGAAGAGAGGAGGGATCGGGGTGCAGGGGAGATGCGGGGAGAGGGATAGGGGAGGGGGAGCACAGGGGCGGGAAAAGGATAGGGTTAGGGTGCTGGTGAAGTAGGAGGGGGGAGGTGAGGCAGTGGTTGGGGGGGGGGGGGCGGTCCGCATCTCCATCATCTACTCGGCTCGCCTCCGCGGCTCCATCTCCCGAGCAGAACTCGCGACGCAGGGCGGAGCGCAGTGGATCGGGGGAAATCTGAGAGCGCGGAGCGGAGCGAGAGTGGTGGAAGCGGCGAGTTGCGCGCGCGCGCGCGCCGAGCTCTCGGATTGAATCGCCGGCGGCGGTGGCGGCGATGGCCAGCGAGCTCACAGCGGCGCGCCGGGCTCATAGAATAATGCAGCACAACCGCGCCTGATCCGTGCGCGACCCACACCCCCTACTCCCCTCGGCTGCCTCTGTCCGGGCTCCTCCGCATAACCGACTGCCACGTACCCGGGGTCCGCTCGCTCCTCGCATCGCCTGCCTCTCCTCCTTCCTCGTTTGTCTCGCCGTGTCATCGTCTCACCGCTCCTTGCCGGACCCTTTTCTGCTCGCCAGCATCGCCCATCCCGGTGGCTGCCAGGACTCGGCTCAAAGAGGTACAAGGGAATCGCGCGGCTCTTGCACGTCGCCGAGTGCTCGCTGCTGTATTAATAGGAGCTCGCATATTTTGCGCATCGAGCGAGCCGGTCGGGTGCGGGCGAGCTCATCAGCAGGAACTTCGCGGCGTCCGTGGGTTGGTGGGTGGTGGTGTAATGTGGGGGCAAGCGTGGGTTGCTGTGCAGAGATGTTGATGAGGCTGCCTCAACAGACCCAGGCGATGCAGCGCGCTGAGATCTCGAAGCCAAAACGCTCACAAGAAGCGATTAGCCAAGGCTGCCAATGCGGCAGGGCACTCCTGATGAAGAGTCTTGAGGCTCGGCGAGGCTCTTCGTGGGCGAATTATTATTTATTAGGAAGCGCCCGAACGCAATCGCACATTTTGACTCCGCGGCTCACTCTCTTTCTCCCTTTGAGGTCTGCAATAGACCGGACCCCCCCCTCCTCTCTCTCTTTGTCCCGGTGCTTGGCTTGAAAATAGCAGCACAGCAAATTAGTTCTTAAATCAATCTGTGCGGACTGTACATTGGAGCGCTGTATCCTTTGATGGGCGGTGTGGGGGTTTCTCCGGATGCGAAGCGGTTGCTGCGATGCGTGTCGACAGAGCAAGGGAGAGCTATGGGGTAATTAGACAAAGATCCCCCGTATAGACTACACAGGCTGTTGGGGCAAGTACTGTTAGCGAGATGGTGGTGTGCGCAACTCCACGTCCAGCCGCCTTCGTCTCCCCAGTGCCGCTGTTTGCACTTCAAACCAGGAGCTAATTTCAGGCTGAGTCTACCTAGGGGAGGGGTGGGGGGGGCTTTGGACGAGAGACTTGCGCGCAGGGCGGGCAATGAGGGCGAGTGGAGTTCCAGACACGGGGCGCAGCAGCAGAGACGGAAGCAGAGGGAGCGACCCACCGCCCCTACGCTGACTAAGCCGAGGCTGCGGTCGATCTGCGTGAGAGGCAGGGTACAGTTTCGTCCTTGCCACACTCAAATTGCCTTGGTGCGAAATGACGAAGCGACTTTGCGTAGCAGAGATGGATCTATGAACTTCCCACGGTGGGGAGGGGGTGGGAGGAGCGGAATGAGTGGGGGAGAGCGAGGGGACGGGTTTCGAAATGATTTTCTAAAAAATCATGCAATGTCTATTGGTGTGGAGAGATGATGATGATGATGATGAGGTGTGGTGTGATGGGGTGCTCGCGTCAATGATCACTATTCTGGCTCACGACTCGATTGATGGTGATCACATCACGATGAACGTAGCGGCCGCTAGTGTCTGCAGCGGCGGAGGGGATCGCGAACACCCATTGCGTGCGGCAAGCGTATGCCTGACGGACCACTCCTTTTGCTCATCCGCTGCTGGACGAGGGCCTCCGTGCGCCATGCGGGTTGTGCCTGAGGGTTATTTGACCACGCTGGTTCGTGCGGGTGGTGTAGCGTGCGGGGGGGGGGGGGGGGCATCGACGTGGCAGCATAGTACAGTCCAACATTGGCCATCGCTACAACATATACGAATGTTTGAATAAGATAAATCGATCCCTATTCATGCGATTTGATACGTCGATTGCATATGCCTAATTATATGGATCGAGGACTTGGGAGCTGGTGAGGCTGTGGATGGGGATCTGTGGTTCCAGCCACTCCGGTTTTATGAATTGATCCGACTCAACAGCGGGGCATCCCCCCGGCCCCCACCCCATTCCCTCCCCCCCCCCACCTTCCACACACCCCTATGGCGATCGCGTTTGTCTCTTAAATCACGGGAATCAGATACAAGCAGATCGAAGCGCCGATAAATACACATGTGCGGTGTGTAAACATCAGTGTGCCAACACCCGGCGTACTAACACGCTGCTAATGCACCACCACCCAATGTATCAACACTCGGTGTATGGACACACAGGCGGTGTTACCAAAAACCCAGCTTGTCTTCTCGCAAGTGCTGTTTGCGAGCGCCTGTTAGCGCTCGAGAACGGTGTACGCGTGACCCCTTCCAGCCACAGGAGGCCGCTACATTCACCACGATCTTAAAATAATAATAGATGCTTGAATTTATTCCACGCCACTTATTGCGTCTGAGTGAAGTGATTTATTCCACCAATATAAATGAGATCTTGCCTTGTGCTGGCCCCATAATTTCGATGGGCTGCCCTTGTAAATAACATCTGGTAATCCGGCAGAAGGTCAAAACCGGTCTAGAGTTTATTCGCTTAAACGAATGCTGTCTGATAACATTGGTCTGCAAAGACGATAGGCTAATGGACTAAAACACGTGTTTCACACGGACACAAGGAACAGATTGCTTCTACAGAACCAGCATCCCAGTAAACATTGATCGTAGTGCCAACGTTGGCCCAACGTTGGTCCAACGGTGCCATTACAGCGCTCCAGTTATTCAACTTTTAAGTTGATTTTGTTTAACTGGGACGAGAACTCAAGAGACCAGGATAGAGTCTCATTTGCAAGAGTGACCCGGGGCATCAGTCCGCCAGCAGGGGGCGATGATTGCTGCTGCTGCTGTGTGATCCCAATTGAGCGATTTGCGGTGTAATTTTCTAATTTGACAAATTTGGATCTTGACGTCAGCACACAGTGGCCGCACTATTGCGAATGACGTCAGGCGATCTTTAAGGTCCACTGGGAGCAGGCGACGCGTGGATGGCAATGATCGCGGTGATCACACCGCGCGCACACGTGCATGCATTTACGTCCCCAAACACATAAATATAAATATTGTATATGTGCCAAAAAAAAACCAGTGGGCTCGGCGCAACACCGGCCCACGTCCTAAAGGGGTCTTCGTAATTAACGGTAAATAAATAAATAAACGCGACGTTTTCCGTTGTGGGGTTCATCCCACGCGATGTTCGGCACGATGTCCAACGTTTTGCTCGCAACGTGCCGGGAGCTTCTTCAGCAACAACCGCACCTCCGGTTAGCACGTTTGGCTCTGTACGGTGCGAAAGAAGCTCAAAATACACACACAGACACAGATCCCCCGTATAGCCTTAACAGACTGTAGGGGCAAGTGCTGTTAGCGAGCACCTATGAAGGCCGGAACGGTACACGAGGGGATGGGTGGCCAGCACCACGCCCGACCGCCTTTGTCTCCCTAGTGGCGATGTTTACACACCGCACCAGGTACTCATTTGAGGCTGAGTCGACCTAGGGGAGGCTCGGGACCGATTCAGATAATCGTCACTGGGTGTTGGCCGTGAGCGGGAATCGAACCCGGGTCGCTAAGTTCATAGCGCAGCGCGCTAACCGCTACACTACCGCTCCCCACTACACAGACAAAGATCCCCCGTGTAGCCTGAACAGACTTTAGGGGACACACACAGACACACACACACAGACACACACACAGAGACACACACAGAGACACATACAGACACACACAAGTGAGCACAAAGGCGAGCTTAATCGATGCAGTTCCCAAGAGCTGTGGCACAGAGGCTCACGGCTCTCACTCGAATATCTCCCGGGACGCTGCAGGGAGGGGGCTGCCTTGGAGCAAGGATAATCGGCATAAGGCACTACCACTAGAGTACAAGATTATGCCTTCTCCATATGAATCTTACATTATTTGTAATTTATTCATGTAACTCTATGAACTCCTTTGGGACAAAATGGAGAAAGATTGATGTGTTTGTGGCTTAAATAATTCCCGGAACAGCGTTCCAGACTATTCGGGCTAAAATTACGCACAATTTAGCTGGACCGTGAAAACCCAGTAAACATGCAACGTTGGGCACGTGGTTGGCAACGTTGGGCCAACATTGGCCCAACAGTCCCAACCATCAACATCAGCACCAACGTTGCATGTTTACTGAGATTCTACATAGTTAAACACGTTGTGGAGCTGTAGGTGCCACTGCTTATGCTGCCGATGATGATGATGAGGAGGCACATGAGCATCTCAGATGGTAGGAGTGTTGTGTGGATCGCTTTCGCTGACTTTGCTGCTTCGGCAGAGCCATTATAGAGGTCGGTGCTGGGTAAGTGGTTTAATCTCGGATGCACTCACGGCACAGTGCTGCCGAACCCGCGACTATGCGCGGCGCACATTGATTGTCTCACTACCGCTCTTCACGATGCGAACAGCGCAACGGCTATAGTTGGACTCATTAATTTTTCACGCGCGCCTCCGTATAACAGGTGCTAAACTACGGGGCACGCGCCGACCGCTCTACTGCCTCCCCTCTAGACCAACCACACGAGCCCAGGCACGAGCCCTGGAAAAGGGGAGACCCCCCCCCCACCCCCTGCCCCGACTCTCACCCCACACCCCATCACGATCGCCACCAGGAGAATCAGAAATCGCTGGGGTCTGCGTACCTTTGACGGCCAAACCCCGATTCATCCATCCCATCGTGCGCTTCCTTACTCAAGCCGGCACGCACGCAGCACGCAAAGACAAAGGTCCCCCAAGCGGCGGCGGGATTTAAAAATAAGAAAAACACAACGGGCAGGATCCCGAGTCGAATTGGTGTCCAGTGAAACTCAATCTGCGGTCACAATTACTGTGCCCGAGAGAAATTATGTCGTATAGTCTACTTGAGCACGCGTCTCATTCCGCTGTTAGGCTACGCTGAGCTTGGTCAACGTATGGAAATTGTTATTTTTTGCCTCTTGACCCAGAAAAAACCCAAACCCACTGTGAAATGTGTTTATAGGGTTTCCTGAGTGGGCAACGCTGGCCAGAGTTTTTCGTTTGGACAGGCACCCCCCACGCCACCCAGCTGTATGCAACATTTCAGAAAGATCCTGACGACTTTTCCACATGTGCCTCGTGGAAATAACGCACCTGTTACAATGCATGCCTCTCAACGTAATTGTCTTAATGCGATTAGGGCCCCGTGATTTATGAGTCCCCTTATTTAAGCAATTCAGTGTCCAATTACGCTGCCCTCGCCTTCCCCATGGCCCTCCCCCCGTCGCTCCCACCCTGCCGTCACGTTGCGTTTGTCCGCATTGTGCGTGGGTTTTTTTTCGTACACAATCTCACGATTGAGTTGTAAATGAGTTACGGGGTTTTTTTCCTCTCTGCCCCCGTTGTTGCCGACCTCGGGTCGGGCTGCGCCACGTTTAGCAAAGACGCAGAGGCAGTCGAGAGCGAGGAGGCTGCGTGGTGGGAAATCCGAGGCTTCGCGAGTCAGGGGAAGTGACCGTCGCAGGCAGGCAGGGACCGAGCCGACACTGACAGTCGGCAACGGCCAGATCCGCGTCCCCAGGAGCAGCTCCATACATTTATCAAAGTGCATTAAAAGACTCTCACGTCGATGAATTATGAAACGTGGGCCGAACTCTTGATCGGCGGCCACGTATCTCACTCCCTCCCTCGCTCGCTCGCCCCGCTCGCCCCCGTGGCCTTTAACTCCTCGCACTCTCCCCTCCGCCCTCATTTCATCCCTTAGATAATTCCTGCTCCCGCCCACGCGCTCACCATCAGGCCCGTCTCCCCACAAAGCGACGGCGGGGGTGTGGGAAGATGGTAGGGGCGGAGGGAGTGTAGCTTAGGGTGGCCCATGAATTCAATATTAATTTAGGGTAGGGGCGGAGGGAGTGTAGCTAAGGCTGGCCCGTGAATCCAATATTAATTTAGGGTAGGGGCGGAGGGAGTGTAGCTAAGGGTGGCCCGTGAATCCAATATTAATTTAGGGGCGGAGGGAGTGTAGCTAAGGGTGGCCCGTGAATCCAATATTAATTTAGGGAGTACAGTGAATAGCTTTACCCCACCCCGCCCAAAGTCAAAATAGAATGGCTTTCCCTCCAAGGGGAAAGGGTAGCCCCATATCCCTTTTGTTTCCCCTCAGAAGAGCATTATACCACCGGCAAAAAAATAAAATAATCGCCCGGCCAGTGAGTTCATGAATTAATTACAAATCAAGGCTGAACGAGGTCATAGGCACGCGACCGCGCCGCCTCTGCCTCTCTCGCGCTACTGCTGCTGGGTTAGGCGTGGGTGAATGTCATTACCCAGGTGTGGCTTTAAAATTCACGTCCCAGTTGGGATACGATCGAATCACCCTGAACGCGTCCGATCTCGTCGGATTCTCGGAGGCTGAGCGAGGGTTTAAACCCTACTTCGTGCTTGGATGGGTGACCACATGCGGCTTTGGCCGGGTGCCGCAGGCGGAGCGCTGCGAGGATGTGGCCAGGAGGTGGCGGTGTTGAGTGCCCACCCCCCTCGTATGAGTGGTGGGTTTTCTCCGGATACTACTGTTGCCTGTGACATGCCAAACTCTCATTAATGGAATTTAGTTGGTGATACCGCTGCGCTGGCAGGGGCCCACAAGCACAAACAACAACTCAAAACATTCGGAAATAACACCGTGGGCCTTAAAATAGTGAAGAGGACATAATCGGCGACGTTTTGGGCAATGGGACCTCTTTCTTCACAGAACATGGAGAGACCAGAGGGTAAGAGAGTCGCTCTCGTGAGTAAAATTAGCACAATATCCCAGTGTGGCAGGTACCTACTGAAGAAAGAGGGCCCTCCTTCATTGACGTGAAAGTGCCAGGCTAGCAAGATGTTAACTTCCCTGCCTCGTATGCTGGAGGCCATGGGTTCGATCCCAACCTTGACACCTGTATATTTGGAGTTTGTGTGTCTCTCTCCCCGTGGTCACGTGGATTTTTCTCCGGGTTTTCCGGTTTTTCCCTCCACATTTAGAAACATGCGTTTAGAGTATTTAGCTGCTGTACATTTCCACACGAGAAGCCACTTCATTGAGCTATCATTTGTGACCAGGTGGGTTCTGAAAAATATTTTTTATAGCTCAGTGGGCCTTACCTGGTAAAATATATATTTTTAATAGTTTTAGTTTAAGGAGACTAATCGAGGCTTTCCTGGGTAAATAATTGTAAAAAAAAACAATCCTCACCACGAGGCAGATCAGCATCGTGACGACACGGCTGAAACATTTCCCGGGTTATTTACCTCATCGGCGGGAAATGGAAATGTGAACGTTTGAACCAAAGAGCCAAATCTAGAAGGGACATTCGCCAGCTCGTGGATCGTGCCCTGGTGCTTAACGTCAGTCGGATCGGTTCGGAACGCCGCTCTGGCAATTATTCGAGCTCCCAGCCACATCCTCCTCGCCTTAATTAGTCCTAACGACATTTACTTCGTCTTGATGTGATTACGTGAACACAGGGCACAATAATACAGGATTGCTACGGTTAGGCGTAGCTCGTATCCGAGAGATAGTGCATTACTCTGATAATCCCTACTCCGAGGCAGCCTAGCAATGTTGTGGAAAGTATCGAGAGTGAGGAATGAATCCCTGACTGCCCACAGTCCCTCATTAATGAGCACGTGTCCGGCGCGTGTCTACCAGGCCTCGGGATCTCAAGGCGTCCCTTCGCCGTGGGCGTGCGCCCACCGCCCCCCGCCCCCCCCCCCCCGAGGATCCACGATGGGCGTCTGGCGGCTGGGCCTGCTGCGCTGCCCATGGCTTTCCCTCGCGGTGGCGGCCGCGGCGCTGCTGATGCAGGGCGCCAGCGCCGAGGTCGACACGTCGACGGGGGGGAACAAATCGAGGGTGTGCAACGGCACAATGGAGTGCAGGAAGGGCCTGCTGCTGCCCGTGTGGTTGCCCACCAATCCGTCGACCGGTGATAAGATCGCGAGGGCGGTGGTATACTTCGTCGGGATGATCTACATGTTCCTGGGCGTGTCCATCATCGCCGACCGCTTCATGTCGTCCATCGAGGTGATCACGTCGCAGGAGAAGGAGATCACCATCAAGAAGCCGAGCGGCGAGACCATCACCACGACGGTGCGCATCTGGAACGAGACGGTGTCAAACCTGACCCTCATGGCGCTGGGCTCGTCGGCGCCTGAGATCCTGCTCTCCGTCATCGAGGTGTGCGGGCACCAGTTCAAGGCGGGCGAACTGGGGCCCAGCACCATCGTGGGCAGCGCGGCCTTCAACATGTTCGTCATCATCGCCATCTGCGTGTACGTGGTGCCCGACGGCGAGACGCGCAAGATCAAGCACCTGCGCGTGTTCTTCGTGACGGCCACGTGGAGCATCTTCGCGTACATCTGGCTCTACCTGATCCTGGCCGTGATCACTCCGGGCATCGTGGACATCTGGGAGGGCCTCGTCACGCTCATGTTCTTCCCAGTCTGCGTGGTGTTCGCCTGGGTGGCCGACCGGCGGCTGCTCTTCTACAAGTACATGTACAAGAAGTACCGAAACAAGCGCGGTCTCATCATCGAGTCGGAGGGTGACCGCGTCAAGAGCTCCATCGAGATGGACGGCAAGATCCTGAACTCGCACGGCGACGTGGCGGCCATCGACAGCTCGCTGTCGGCGCTGGACGAGCGCGACGTGGAGGAGAGCCGCAAGGAGATGATCCAGATCCTCAAGGAGCTCAAGCGCAAGCACCCGGACAAGGACCTGGAGCACCTGACGGAGATGGCCAACTACCAGCTGCTGAGCCAGCAGCAGAAGAGCCGCGCCTTCTACCGCATCCAGGCGACGCGCATGATGACGGGCGCCGGCAACATCCTGAAGAAGCACGCGGCCGACCAGGCGCGCAAGGCGGCGAGCGTGCAGGAGGTTCGCATCGACGCGGGCGACGGCGCGGGCGGCGGTGACGTGCGCTGCCGCGTCTACTTCGAGCCGAGCTCCTACAAGTGCCTGGAGAACTGCGGCACGTGCGCGGTGACCGTGCAGCGCAGGGGCGGGGACCCGAGCGCGACGCTCTACGTGGACTACCGCACCGAGGACGGCTCGGCCAACGCGGGCTCCGACTACGAGTTCCAGGAGGGCACGGTGGTGTTCAAGCCGGGCGAGACGGAGAAGGACATCGCCATCGGCATCATCGACGACGACATCTTCGAGGAGGACGAGCACTTCTACGTGCGACTGAGCAACGTGCGCACTGGCAGCGAGGACGGCGGCGCCGGCGTCGGAGGCGCTAGCGGCGGTGGAAAGTTCGAGGCCAACCACAACAATGCGGCGCCCAGGGCATTGCTGTCCGAGCCGTCGGTGGCCACCGTGATCATCCTGGACGACGACCACGCCGGCGTGTTCCTCTTCGAGGAGACGGTGACGCACGTGAGCGAGAGCGTGGGCATCATGGAGGTGCGGGTGGTGCGCAGCTCGGGCTCCCGCGGCACCGTCGTGGTGCCATTCCGCACCGTCGAGGGCCTGGCCAAGGGCGGCGGGGAGGACTACGAGGACGCGATCGGGGAGCTGCTGTTCCAGAACGACGAGATCACGTAGGTGCCGGAACACACGCACCCCTTCTGCTGCTCGCCTCCCCCTGACGCGCAGAGGTGGCGGCGTCGTCATCGGTGGCGTAGCTGCCGAGCAGTGCAGGTGGCGCGACCAGGACCGCCCGGAGGTTCTGGAGCTCCTGGGTAGAAGGCCACGTGAGGCCCTGCTCGTTACGAGCGACAAAAATAGGCTTGGCGTGGGCGCCCTCTTTTGGTGCGAGGCCCGGGGGAAATTGCCTGTTTTGTATGTGCCGCATTCTAGGCAGCCCTGGGTGTAACTGCACCAGGATTCATGGGGCGGAGGGGCCCAGGAGCTGGGCTATGAAGAGGTGGAGCCATTTAACCTCTCGCACCACCATGGCCCATACAATCCACACCCGCAATCATTGGCTGTTGTGTCGGAAGTTTTACTTCAGTGGTGAGTGTTTGCTGTGTTGTTGTTGGAGCTGGGTTTGTGTTCGAGTTGGGTTTTTCCACTCCTCTGGATTTGCTATTTTTCTGGATGTTTCTTTCAATGAAAACCTCGATCCACCACGCCCACCCCCCCCCCCCCCCCCCACGTAGTTCACATCTAATTTAATTCAACCAAAAGGTTAGAAAAAATTAGTTCTACATCTGTAGGATTTTGCTCTGATCTGGTTGCGCTGCCGGGAGCTACATTACCATAAGCAATTATTCAGGCGTCGTTTATCGTAATTTAGAGCAGCGTAGCTCATCTCTTATTTATATTTATGCCGGTGTCGCACAAGGCCTGCTAGCGCTTCCATTAAGGTGTTTTAGAGCGGCGGGGCCGTTATTGCATTAGCGGAGAACAAACCTCACTGTAAATCTCCGTGAGCGATGGAATAATTTTCAGGAGACTTGCGCGGTGCAAAATGTCTGTCTCCCTCTCTCTCTCTCTCCCCGCCCTGTGCGTTCCGAGCCTGAGCGTTACACGCACCGTGTGTTTTTTCATCTTAGCGCACTCTCCCAGGCCACCCCCGCTCCCCTTCCTCTCTGCCACCCTCCCACGCTTTGGTAATTTACCCCCAGCCCATTAATTACTCGGGACGTGCTGAGAGTGCAATGCGCGTGCCCGGAGGTTGGCTCCGTGGCCCCTCCATCGATTTTTTTTTTTTGCGATGCGGAAATCGAGAGGGGACATGCCTGGCGATACGTTACCCGTATTGACGGCTGGCGTGCGCGGGGGTCCTGGGAGCCACGGTGTGAAGAGGACCGCGCCAGCCCGCCCGTGCGTGCCGCTCGCCCCGCGTGTCCGGGCGAGGGCCACGCGGAGCGCACGGCGGCGTCGTTGTTGTGTTGCCGAGGGCGCCGCGATCCCGTTTGCCTTCCGAACGTGGCTGCGGCACTGCAAGCGCGCGTTTGTTCGCCATGCGCGGGCGGGATGCCGGTCCTCGCGGGGGCGTTCGTCTTCATCTGGCCGTGGTGCGGACGGAGCGAGGAAGAGCGGCTGGGGTGCAGGGAGCGAGATGATGGACTGTGGCCATCGCAGGACCGCGAGTGATGGGCAATGGTGTTGGAAAGATGATGATGATGATGACGATGATATACATTGGGTGTCTATAGCCACACCTGCACATCTGTATGCTGCGTGAATACACTGTATCAGGGGATGCTCAGTCTTTGGGAGGTTATCTTTTCGCAGTTTTTACCAGCAGCAAATAGCCGCCGTATTTGTTTTCCTATTCGTTAAGGCGGTGCCGAGTGGATGTGGTGAGTGCAGTGGGTGAGGTGGGTGAGGTGGGTTGTGGCTGAGCGTGATGGCCACGGTGGACACGGCAGGCTGGTGGACTCGATGGGCTTGGTGGTCACAGCGCAGTGGCCTTGTCAGCGCACATGGGCTGAGGCTGAGCGGCTTGAGGTGGAGCGGTGTTGCGCGATCAGAGTGCCCCGTACGCGTTTCACGCGCAACGTGACTCCTGACTGCAAGCGGCGCTGATTCAACTCTTCAGATAGCCACGCGAGAGATTCCGCACTGCCGCCCCAAACAACGTACGGTGACTTCTAAGCGCGCGATCCGCACCTCCGAGTCGCGCTTGAACCTTAATCCGTTCACGAAATTGCCCACGTGGCAATTTGTCTTCTTATGATTGAAAGAATCATGCCATTATTCATCACATTCAACGGTGGCAACTGTAGCGGCGCCGCCACCGCACGTGGGGTCCCCCTTTGCCAGGGGTCAGCGAGGGAGGGGGGCGGAAGGGTGGAGGTGGCAGAGCCCTGGCGAAGGCGGCCGGACGGCGATCGGTGGTGGGGGGGGGGAAGTGACGAGGCATGCGCACGCGCGTTGTTTCCCGGCTAAAACCACAAACAAAATTCTCTCCCAGCCATGAAAAAGGGCAAATCCCACTTCGGCAATGCCCCCTTGCAACAAAAACACCCACCATGGGCTCGTGGCATTCGCAGTTGACATTAAACACACAAACCGAGTCACGCACTGCAGACCGCTACGGGCACGTGGCAGCCTTCCATGACTAAAGGGCCGCTCGCAGTGGAGAAGCGAAAGTGGTGGGGGGGGGGAAGGCGGGCGGGGCTCTAGAATCCGTGATGCGTTTGGCCCTCGTCCGCCGGCGCCGCCGTGAGCCTCTCCGCGGGTCCCACCCCCCCATCAACGACCAAGTGCCCCGCGCGTCGCCGCGGGCGCCACGGTGCAAGTTCACGGTGATGCGTGGCGGCGTCGCGCTCGCTATTTGTTTTTTTTTAAATCTGCAGCAGCAGCCGCCCCCCCCCTCCACCCACCCACCACCCTGTAACAACATCAACGTGATCCCGCGGTGTTGTGATTCGGGCACGCAAAGTGCACAGCCCTTCGGTGGCTAATTTTCACCGTTGCGCTAATTGCAGTTTGGGCCCGGAACGATTGCTCCTGTGTGTGTGTGTGGAGGAGCGGGGTGGGTGGGCGCCGGGGTTCAGTGGCGTGCGGGTGGGGGGGGGGGTTGGTTGGGGGGGGGTGCCTTCACAAAGTGGGGGGACCTTACTTTAGGTCATGGCCGGAGGTCATGTCGAGTCCGGCGGGGTCATGCGAGGACGGTGAGCACCGTGCACGCACGGCCCCACCGTGTGCACGCACGTATATGCCGACATGCGTACACACATGGGGGGGCAAGGGGCCATGAGAGACGCTGCCCCCCCCTCCCCCGCCTCCTTCATCCACTCCTCCCGGCGGGCTCTGCTAAACACGTTATTATTTTATTTTGCCAAACTTTCCGCTTATTTTTCTTTCAAATCCATGTTTGTATTCCAAATGCGCTATCGCCACCGTGTCACAACACCAATACATTTCCATCTGGAACTCTGCAGCGAGCAGTGCACCACAACGTGTCCACTCGACAGCCGTGAAAGATGAGGTTCACGGCACCTCTTCTGACGTCGCAATCAATTGACACCTTCATCCACACTCTGTGCCCTGGAAGGATGGTCTGGCAGTGAACCAAATTAAGCGCATCACAACATTTTGGTTTGTTTTGTGTGTGAGTGTGTCCAGTCATTGGTAACCATCGACCAGATGAGACTCATCAACTCTCACCTGCCTGTTCATGCTCTCACCTTTTTCAGCTACAACTTATTTAGGCCTCACCTGTCCAGGCTTTTCCACTTGCACAGGCTCTGTTCTCGATCGAACGATGTGTCCAATTCGTGAAATATTCGTGCACTATAAATCGTGCCTATTATAATTATCATTATTCCAAAAACAACTTTCCGTACTACCACACCCTGGCCATATCACACGCTCCACCAGGAGACAGCTCCCAGCTCCACGCAGCGGAGCGGTGCGTCTGGATTGGGATTGGTTTCATTTGTAGGGTGCCGGTCGCAGCTCCCGGGAAGATCGAAGCAAACTGGAGTCCACTCCTGTTTCTGCTGAACCCGGGAAATTCAATGTCCTGAGTGAACCCGCTCGGAATAGCCGCCCGTGTCGCCGGGGACGGCACACACCTGCTGCAGCACTCACGAGCAGGGAATCCGGGGAAGAAAACACACGAGGGGATTACACCCGAAGGTCCGCACGGATAGATTCAAGAATCAACTGCTGCACTGCCATTGTGTGGCGACCTCGCAGCCCCCAAGCCTACAACACCTGGCATGCATCGGTAGTCGCCAATATGAGAGCTGACCAGGCTCTCCGCCTGCATAGCTCCGGAGATCGAACGAGATCGGCCACGTTTCTGGGTGACTCGGCAGTAGTTATTCATTCATTCATTCACGAGCGGCGACGCCCATCGACGCACGGCGTCGTCATTCCGCCAGCGACAGGTGTTGACGGAGGCCGTGGTCGCGAAATGTTGGTTTGCCGGGCCAGAGGTTTGCGGCCCTTTGGTGAAATCAACAGCTTTGCGCGTGACATCAATTTGAGCGGCGTCTGGTCGCACACGTCCACACGCGTGTCCCTGCGCGTGTCCACACGCGTGTCCCTGCGCGTGTCCGTGCGAGTGTCCCTGCGAGTGTTCCTGCGAATGTCCGCGCGCCGCCAATCTGCGTGGCCAGAATTCCTCACCGCGGACAGAATTACCGTCCAGCGCGACGTCGTTGCCGTGCACGAAATTCCATTGGTGACACGAGGTGGGTGGGGGGTATCGCTGCCGGGAGACCGGGACGGGTTGGTGGGGGGAGGGAAGTCCCGGCGAGGGTTGTCACGGCGGAGCTCGCTGTGAGCGAGGCTCGAGACAGCTGTGCTGGGGATATGGTGGAACCCCCCCCTCGCCCGTCTATCACCGCCCGCCCGCCCGCTCGGCAGTCCATCAAACTCGTTTGCATCTGAGCGCGGCTGCCGTGGAGCCTGTGGCACTCGGCTCGAGACTAATAAGGCCGGAGTCGACCTCCTCCTCCTCCTCACATGGGCCCTCGCAGAGGCTGCACGGAACAAATGAGACGATGCACCCCCCCCCCCCTCTCTCTGTGCAAGCCCTCACCAGGGCTCCCCAGATGCTAAATGTCAGGGAGTAATCAACCGCGAGGCCTCGTGTGTCCATAGTTATCGTTGCTGTTTATTTGTTCTCGTGCGG